ACATATGATCGAAACCAACGCAAGAGGTCTCCTCTGATTCCGTTATAGGCAATCTTTCTAAGGAGAATTTCGTGGTCTACCTTGTCGAAGGCCTTGCAGAAGTCAGTGTAGATTGTGTCAACTTGAGTGCGCTGATCCATACTTTCAAAGAGGAAATTACTGAACAACAACAAATTAGACTCAGTCGATCTTTGTTTCACAAAACCATGCTGTTGCTTTAATATAATAGTATGTAACTGAGGATAAATTGCATTGTGGACAAGTCTTTCCAACACCTTCGACACGGTTGACAACAAAGAAATAGGGCGATAATTACGAACATCATTTTTGGTTCCACATTTATAGATGGGGGTGATATTTGCACTCTTCCATATTTGAGGTACAGTTGCTTCTCTCATGCATTTATTGAAGAGTATCACTAGTGGGACAGATATACAATCAGCCGTCAATTTAATAAAAAGGGGTGGAATATTGTCAGGTCCATGCCCTTTGTTTACGTCGAGTGTCTTCAATATCTTGACTACATCATGTCGTGTAAAGCTAACATGAGATATTATAAAGCCATTGTTATGTTCACTCCGCATAGAGTTACTATCAAAGTTATGGATGGTACTTGACTCAAATACGGAACTAAAAAAATTACTGAACAGGTTACATATTTGCTCAGGATCATCAGACTTCAAGTCATTATAAGTCATTACATCAGGAATACCGCCAACGTCTCCGTTCTTGCGGACATATGACCAAAAAGCTTTTATGTCCTGACGTATACTTTTCTCTACCGTATTTATATAGTTATTAAAACATTCCTGAACATTGTTTTTAAATCGTCGACGGTATAAGGAAAAGATCTCATAGTCTGAAATATTACCAAATTTTTTCCATTTAACCCAGGCCTTATTCTTATTTTTAAAAATGTGTATTAGTGGGCGAGTAAACCATATTGGAAATTCCCTAGACTTCACAGGTCTTAGTGGAATGTGTTTAGCGATAATTTGATATATTTGCTCATAAAATAGGTTGACTGCTTCCTCAATAGGAGGTGCGTCTAGCAAATCATTCCAATTGATAGCACTGATATCATTATTAATAGCTTGGTAATTGCCTTCAAAGAACCTGTAACGCGGAGCTTTATTTTCTATTATAGGTGAGCAATTCAAATTGAGAGGTGCTTCTATCAGTAAGGGCGGGTGGTGACTATCAACGGGTAGTAATGGCGAAAGAGCCACTTCAATTTCGCACTCTAAAGAATTTGAAATAAATAAGTCTAGAATATTGCCACTACTGTTCTTGTTAACATTATATTGAAATGATCGTAGATATGAAATAAAGTTAATAATGTAATAGTCAACATCACTACTACTTTTAGTAATGACTGGAACTACAATTGAATTGCTATTAAGCTCCCATTGAAGTGAAGGTACATTAAAATCTCCAATAATAAATATGCTATCGATAACTTTCTGAGAGACAGCACATTCAACAGCTTTTAAAAAATGTTTATAAGTCTGTGCTGTCTGGCGTGGTGGTATATAAAGCGCACATATTGTATGAAACTTGTTATGCATATTTGATGGAAGACGCAGCAAAACATACTCAATATTAGGTGACAAAGTATGGGACACGTTCTGTTCGGCAGAGCCGACCGTATCACTCAAACAAAGTTCATAACGGCGTGCTGTGAGCCCGCGGCGCACAGCTATGAGTACGCCGCCACCGTCCTGTTTCCCGGTAGCCTTAAAGTTACGGTCACATCGAAATATTGTGTAGCGACTATCTATTATTGATACATCAAGTATTGAAGGTATAAGCCAAGTCTCAATCAAAACAATTATGTCGTAGGCCTCCGAAAGAACATTCATATAAAGTAAATTGAGTTTAGTACGTAGACCCCTGCAGTTCTGATAATAAATCGACAAATTATTAGTAGCCATTTTTTATAATATGATTATCTGCGAATGTATATATATGAAACGTATTCATGTAATATAATAATAAATTGTGTATGCGCGTATGCCCGACAATGCCACTCCACCAATCATAATACCTATTTCTTATCAATGTCATATAATTATTAAGCACTTTGTTAAATAAAAGCAATAATAATAACACATGTTTTTTGTTTGTACTATAGGAACAATAATAAAATTCAGTAGTCAGCGCAAGTAACCAAATCAGTTCAAAATAATGGAGTCCCCGAGATTTAATCACTTGCAATCGCCTAAACAACTCAACACAAAGATTTAAATCATTATTTGCCTCAACAAGGCTTCTTGTAATATTTAATAATATACTATGTAACTTGTAATAAGTAAATGTACTAGAATTATAACACTGACGCGAAGTACATAATGGACAAAATAGGTAATTGCTACTGTTTGCGTGAATCAAATTCAATCCAATATATAACAACATCAGCCACAAACTGTCATAAGTCAAATTTTGCATAATATTAAAAACAACTAACGTATTATTAGGAAGTGATAATACAGAATAAATGTATTTTTCATTCGCATAATCGAATACGAAGTAGATGTAGGTACTTACTGCCATTAAATATCGACAAATAAATCGAAGTTTCACCACTGCTTCCGTGCACAAAATTTTCTGCATTAAACGAGAATATCTTACAAAATCATTTATGCAAATTTTCCCATAATTTTGCATTAATAACCCTATAATTGTAGAATACTTAGATATGCAGGTATGCCAACAATAATCACTGCGTCCTGAGCAGACGCAACGAAACCACAGAGCACCTCTGAACACAGAGGCAACACTAACTATAAAAAACTCAAGTAATCTTTTGAAGTCAATATAACAAAACACTGAAAGAAACAAACAACTGATTGCCAACTGAACTCTTAAATAATTATGCTGATTTCTTGTGAATTTTTTGCAAATCCTCTTGATGGCGTATAGCAAAAACCGATGAAGTGCTGTTTTCGCGAACAAAGATGATTCCGTTTTTAACCCAACAATACTTAAATCCGATATTTTTGGCGACCAATCTGGCCTCACGAAACAAGTGCTTATTTTTTAAAGTCAGATGCTCATTTAAAAATATTTTTTGTGGTGGCCCTGTTACATTCAGTTGATCTGTAGTAACTCCCTTGGCCAGCCTATTTGCTGCTAACAGGTTGTCTCTCATGATTTTACTGGGGAGTTTAACTATCACATTCCTTGGCTGTTTATTGTTTTTGTCGGCGTGTGGAACCCGGTGAACGGCAACAATGTCTAGTGATGACAGAGGCTGATTTACCGCAGTTCCTAAGTCTAATATCAAGGACATCAGATCCTCTCCACGTCTTTCAGGCAGACAGTTTATCTCCACATTGCACTGGCGAGCTTGCTGTTCCATGATTTCTATTTTACTTTGTAGCTGATTAATTTGCTGCATGTGGATATCATTCAACGCGGATTTCTCTTCTAGAGTATGAAGACGAGAACACATATCATCAGTCTTCTTATTTAGCTTTTCGTACTCAGTATGCATAAAATCGAGAGATTTTTTTACCTCTTCAACTTCTTTCAGCAACTTGGACTGTTTTTCGTCGTATTTAGAAAACCACTTTTCTAGTGTAGACGTAATATTATTTTGGAACATTTCAAAATCCTTCCGTAGATTACTTTCAGTTCTCTGCCTTTGTGTGACGAAATTCGGAGGAGTTACCAGATCTTCACCAGACTGAATATCACTAACTTCGCCCACACTCATTGCCTGCTCGCAATCTTGTTGATTTATTGTACTGTTTAGATGACTCATTATTACGTTACACTCTGTTTGCAAACTACTCTGTGAACGTCGTACGAGGTGAGATATAAAGGACTAGCGACCGCGGCTCCCGTGTGGACGTTTGCGCGGTGCGCGACAACTTTTATTTAACTTCTAGTAGGCATACGTTAAAAAATCAAAAGATAACGAATAAATATTATTATTATTATATTATTATTTTCTAATAAGTTATTTGATATCGTTCCCGGGTAACAAATTTATAATTATAGGTGATTTTAATTTTCCTAATGCCGATTGGCATAATCATAGTGACCATCTTGCACCTCTTGGGATCCTTTACTAAATCTCAATAAGATTTATTTGATACATTAACCGAATGCAACTTATTCCAATACAGTCAAGTTTGCAATGATAATAAAAGATTTATAGATTTGGTATTTTCAAACGATGAGGTCTTGGTGCGAAATAGTGATGATCCCCTAGTGCCGGAAGACATACCTCATCATAAATCTCTCTGCATTGAAGTCTCGTTGGTAATGCAACTCCTTTTGAACTTAATAGGATTATTAAATATTATTACAACTGTTGCGATTTTAAATCTTTGTGCAAGGGACCACCTAATTAACCTATTAAAAGATGGCCTCTTGTCTATTGTCTGTTCAATGTTTGAAAGTGACATAATTAAGCAAAAAGTGTTTTCTTCATTTGGACTTCGATTATACTTGACATAAGTTGGGATAGAATCACTAGCTATGAATCCAACAAAAATACCTAATACCTTATGGTTAAATAAAAGTCCATGATCGAAATTATATATATTTTATTTTATTAGGTAGGTAGTTATTGAATAAAACAGAAATCAATTGCAACAATAATATCATTATTATATAAATTTGATAGGACAGCGCCCTCGCGAATCAATCCGTAAAATTAATATGGCCACATTTAAAAGATCAGGTACATATACAATAGAAATCGGCGTAATAAATAAAAGTTTTCTTATATATTGCTTAAAAGTATTAATAATTTAGATATCACTAAAAGTCTTGTTGATATAATCCTTGAAACAACTGAAACAATAATTATGACTATTTATCAGTTCTTGTGTAGGAAAATATGTCATGAATTAATGTTTATATTATATAAAAATATAAAATATAATTAGACATAACATCAGTATACATATATGTGACAATAAAAAACAGTAATTAGACATTTTTCACATATATTCTATTTATATGATAGGATTCATCTCTTAATAATTCCGACCGCCTATAAAGGTATTCTCTAATATAAAACATCATAACCATCTAACAGAGGATTGGATAACAAGTGATGCCTTTAAGAACATGACTACAATACCTAAGTCGTAAAATCATTATGTGATCAAAACCTTTTAACTACATAGGTGATGCATCTGCACATAATTTAAAATTAATAATAACATACAGCTAATAGATTGTAAATTCATATTAAAATATCAATATCATTCAAAATTCATCTGTCATACCTCTCTACCTACGTACATGGGAACTGTTGGCAGCCCGTTCTGTGTAGGCACAAGCACAGTAACACCACGCCGTATCGGCAAACTTTATTGTCCTCTAGGACGTTCTGCCACATAACTAAACTAAAATTCGAAAATACCGTAGTCTACAGTAGCGTTACAAATCGAAACTTCGTTATTGCAAATGGCACTCAGAACTCAAAGTCACTAGCTCGTTGTAGTATTAATCTACGACTAAACTAGTTTATATCACAAAAACGCTTTCCATCTTCAAGCATCATTAGCCAGATTTTCTTGTCCGCTCTCCTGATCATTACAAACAGGCACAGGAATGTCACCAGTGGCGGGCGCTGGGGCTGCGCCCGGCCGGGCTGCTGCTGGGAACCTCGCCTCTGTTACCGCCTTCACCTATCCGGTGATCCTGTACCATGTCAGTAGAACGACGGGTGCCAATCGACTGTCGGATGAAGCGGTCCGGGAGGTGAAGATGATTGGCCAGACGCACCTAATGCCAAACAATCAAAACTGTAATTAGCTCCACTGTTATTGTCCCAAAACTGCTGTCCCTTGCATTGGAATCGCACTGCTAATTCTAGTCGCTGTCCTGACGTTATGCTCGGTGCATACAGCACGAATTGGAAACGGTCCGAATATCCGTCACATGAACCCTGAACGTAAGTCGTTTGTAAGTCTGTATAGGTTTTCCAACCGTTCATAGTGTACCGTACGTGTACAGTTTTGTGGAAGTCCAAATTGCGCACTCTGACTGAACCACATACGGTGACGTGCACGCCATCGCAAACCCGTGCACTTTCTAAGCAAACACTTAACTTTTCAAGCTTTTCTGTAAAATTTGGTGAAATTTGAAATAGAGGGACCAGTGTTAGAGCACCAAATCGTGGAGCATTTCGCACTGGAGGAGAATTTTGGAAATCGCAACCTGTAAGATCATCGTAAGCCGATTTTGGAATAACTGGTATTTCATCCATGAAAGTTTTAACATCTGCTAAATCAAGACCCAAAACATCTGCGAATCGAACAATTTTTTTGCGACCAGGTGTGCCTGGTGGCGTTTTTCCTGTTTTAAGAGAAGAGCAACGCCGAACTCGCTGTGGTCTGTCATATTCTTCATCATGTTTCTCATTTTCTGCTTTTGAAAGTTTAGTTTCTGTTTCAGGCTCAGCGGAAACTTCTTTGTCGGCGGGAATTTCACTGGTAACGATTTCTAAAGGCTCTTTTATATCTCCATTAAGTTCTGTGAATGGTTTTTCAATTAATTCAGCTGGTGTCTCTTCTTCGATAGGAATTTCCACTTCTGTGAGAGATGAATTTTCTATACAGTCAGTGACATCATTATCTATGCGACTTTCATTTAGTAAAACTTCATCCACGCCCTCGGAAGGGTCACTTTTAGCAGATTCGAATTCCGAATCACTGTCCAATGTTGAGCTACAATTTAATGGCAAACTTAATCTTTCTGCTTCAACTGGTATCGATGGTGGTGAGACATAATCAACTTCATCGAGGCTATTTTGTCGTGCACATCCTTCAAATGTGATCGGTGAATACAAAGGTTTATCAGCGTGGCCATTTTCTCGCGGAGCCGGTTGTAGTTTGACAGGGGTACATTCTGTAAAGAATGCAGTGGAAAATTTAAAACCATTTCTTGGTTTGTCTGGTTGTTTTAGCATGAGCTTGGCTTGTTCTTTAACTTCAGGGCCTGAGTCGACATCGTAGAACGGTGGTTCCTGATCATCGGTGGGCGAGCGTTCGGGAAAAGGTGGATCGAACTCATCAACAGGACTAGAGGGGCTCTCGCATTCTAGCTCGAAGTCGTAGAAAGTGTCGTGGTCGCGTTGTCCTGCGGTAGTCGGTCGCGTGTTATCACGCGCCAACCAGCTGCTCTCGCACTCGTCGTCCTGTGAGGCCCCAAGGTTTCGTAGACGCGAGTGTAAGTCTCGAGCGAACGCCGCTGCGCGGCCGCGGCACGACATCGGCAGCAGCGACGTCAGACCGCACTGCGAGGCGGCGCGGTCACTGCTCATCTGCGTCTGTAAAAAATAAAAACATACTATGAAATTACAGGCCGTTGCGAATACCTTATCTTAGCGCATTTCCAATATCAAGATAATATGAATGCTTTATTATCACGCGTTAGATAATATGCGTAGAGACAGGCGATCAAGGTGACCTGATACAAATATATTGGAATTATTAATATAGAGCATCAGTTCCAGTCGAAAGAGTTACTTCGAGAAGTTTGGGGAATTTTCTGGTGTATATTCTAGATCGGTGTTTATTCGAATCTTAGCATTACAGCAGCACATTTATTAGAGTTGACACTGTAACTTTCCTTATGATAACATAGGCATTGGGACGCTTTGACAAGCATTAAATTTATTTCTAAATGCGGCCGTTGGGTTTAGAATCTTAACTATTGCATGAGTATTTTGCTATCCACAGGCTTTCTTACTTTCGAAGAAGTATGTTGTCTGCAATTTTTAGACTATAAGTTATTATTGATCAAACCTCTTGCACCATAGTTCTTAACACAAATTAAGGATTAATCGTGTTTAACACATCATTCTATGTTTGTCAATTTATTAAAGTCCAATGAGGCTTTAACATGATTAACTTCTAAATATGAATTAGGAACTTTAGTGAGAGTGAACCCGAATATCTCACTACATACTATCGAGATCAAGCGCAAATGATTATGGCCAAAAAGTTACAGACCACCAACATCGTTCACAAAACGTATTATCATTACAACTATCGTCTTTTACTTCAGAAATAGAATGAAAATTTTTTCCTGATCAGTACCTATGACATGAAAGTTGAATGTCAAATGTGAACGGACTCGATAAGATAATTTAATTACGTGATTCGCAATGTTAAGCACGCAGTGAACATCTCCCTGTATATGTATACAAATATACAATAATCATGCTATTACAACCTAAAAACACAATAAACCTATTTGATATAGGTACCTACGAAGATAAATCTGATCGAGCATGATTCATTTTTATTATTTTTAAGATAAATCATGTCATACTTTGACATCTTATCCAAAGAGTGCATTCTAAAATATTTTTGCATGGAGTTTTATGTTAAATTTGGAAGCAATATTTATCTCACAGTTAATCTGCTAAATTTGGAAAAAATCATTTAAAAAGAAATAATAATTAATACACTCGGTTGACGATCTGATCAGATATTGATCACAGTGGACCAATTCAAAACAGGTAATGGTGTCGATTCTGACACGATTCTCTAAACCTAAACTTAAATTTGACAACAAGGAAAATTTTTTCAAAAATTTTTTTTTCCACTTAGTGGTTAATAATCCACCATTATTAGACATCTGTTCGAAAGGTACTTTGAACGATCCACGGAGCTCCATAAGATGATCGCGTTGTCAAAAACAATGTTGGCACGCTCGTCGCCTCTGATCACTGTTTTCATATTTATAATATTTATCCACATGTTTCTAGTTTCTATATAGACACAACGTGTTTTAGTTACTTACAAGTGCTAATTACATATGGACTAATAACTTAAATTCAGTAGTGATTTTAATTGAATATTTATTTAATTTTTCAAATTAAAACTGAACTTAATTGACTGTGTTAACTATCCTTTTTCAGTCCTTTTATTATTTTATTGTAATTATTAATTATTTGCATGCAATTAAAAAATATTTTTAATGATGCTAAAGAAGTATAACTTCTCACGCGCGTACATAAGTTACACGCATCCATTTTTTTTATAAAAAAACATCTACCCCTCAAACGCTTGGACTTGGATTTCATTGAAGTTTGGGTTCTTTTCGTATTAGTAAATTATAGGAGACGGGATTCGCGAGGTGTCCGTTATGTGAATATAGATTAGAAAACTACGCTATTGTTGCAAGACTGGGACAAGAAAATAAAGATTTAATCGAATAAGATTGATTTGAAGAGATAAGCAGGCTATGTAGACTGTATCAAAACTGTATGGAAAAGAAGACCAATTGATGTGGCTATGCATCTTAATCTTCATCAACATATCTTAAGATCGATCTGAGTGGCATGCAATTGGAGAGAGACCTATGTCCAGCAGTGGACTAGGATAGGCTGTTGATGATGATGATGATGATGATGCATCTTAATTGTTATCAAAGTTTGTGTCTATCGAACACTACATAACTAGTTATAATTATGTGTATCTATATAGATTTGATAGTACCTCATGACTTCACATAACGTTATTTTGCGTCCGCTTGTATAGCGGAAGGTGGGGTTCGAATCTGGTCTGAAGTCAGAACCGCGTCGATTTTTTTCTTGTGAAAATTTCTTCAGATTTATGAATCTTAACAGTTAAATGCTTTAAATAAAAACAAAATAAAACTTCACTCTATGTATCAAAATTTAAAAAAAGTGTAGTATTTTTTAAATACTACACTTTTTTTAAACCTTTTGGTAATATTTTTATTTCAGGATAATATATATGGTCTAAGATTCGAACCTAAAACTTCACTCTATATAAGAATATCAAAAGTTAAAAAAGTGTAGTATTTAAAAGGTAATATTTTTATTTCAGGATGATATAGATGGTCTAAGATTCGAACCTACAAGAAAAGGACAATGTTAAATTTGGCCTAAGAACCAACACCAATTTGGCATTATGATAATTCTAAGTATATTTTTTGCGATAATTATCAGTATTTAGATTGTGGCGGACACTTCCAGTTAAGTAAGCTAAATAAAAAAGTTAAAAAATAATCTGAGACAATAAATACCATTTTATGTGTATAATCTATGGCAGCGTTGCAAACAAAACACTCTTTCTTCCTAATGCCGGCACTCCACTTGGCTATTCGTATTTGCTATTTTAAAACATGACATCAGTCTGTCCTTTTCATTCCTTATTAAGCATGACAAGGACAAACTGTTGTCAAGTGAAGGGCCGGCATAAAACTTGTTACTCTGTGGTTGTGGTGCATGCAATTTGCATTCGTAGTAATCTGTGGCATTCGTGCATTCCAAAGAGTAGTATAATATACCGGAAAGTGCATTCTCGTTTCGGATTACCTGTTGTGTGTGTTTATTTACGATTGTTTTGCCTTTAATTTAACTATTTATGGATGGCATATTTACTAATATGCCATCGATGTTACCAAAGAGCAGAGCCCTTATTACCAAGTGCTAGTGAACCTGTGCCACAACATCCTAAGAGGATCATACTACCAAATTATTCAAGAACACCTGATATACATTCACGCTGCATATTTACACAATATACATGTGATATACAAATAAATACAATAAACAATATGATACAATTATGTGAAAAATAGTCAATAAATATGACGCAAAACTTAAGTAAAATGTTTTTATTTTATTGATGATTCCTACCTAACCAAGTTTTTTCTAATAGTTATTCTTTAAAATCGCACCGAATAAAATGAATTTGTTGTAATATTAATTCACTTCATACTGAGTTCATACTAAATTCATAGGTTGACCTATGTTTCATTGAATATTAAACATAACCTCAAAAAAATTTAGTTTTCCTAATAATTTAAGTCCTCAGAAGTGTCCGTCAATAATCTTTGTTTTTACAGTCATTTACTTACGATTTGGAACCTAGAAAATAATATTTCATGATTGTTGGTTTTTAGGCTAACTATGTATGGACGCTGAACAATGTCCTTTAAAAATAGTCTGTCCAGGATTTTTAGGCAACCCATTTTTAATATATTTTCTAATATACTACATTCATGATAAAATATGTTTCATTCTATGATCAGCTCGGTGAAGGTCGATGTAGGTTCGGATCTTCTACTAATAAAAATAATAAATCAATATTTCCAACACACACCAATTAGCCTAGCCCCAAAGTAAGCACTGTAAGGCTTGTGTTATGGGATGCTAGGATAACGGATAGAATACATATACAGTACATATAAAAGTATATTTATATAGAAATACATATTAAACATCCATGACTTGAGTACAAATGCTCGTATTCATCACAGAAACATCTGCCCCGACCGGGATTCGAACCCGGGACCTCTCGAGTCGGCGACACCACGAAACCCGGCGTACAAACCACTCGGCCACGGAGGTCGTCACTAATACATGAGGTAAGTCAATAGTATTTAAACTAAGTAACCTCTTCTTTCATATCATTAGGTAAGGATCCGGTCCATCTGGCATATTTGAAAGTTTTTTGACAAAAGAAAAGCAACTTTTATTAATGTCATTTTTAAACTGATACCGAATGGCATGTTTACATATTCCTTTTCCTGTATAAGTTTAACACTCATATTTTTATAGCTAGATATAGAATCTTCCAACGTCATCGACCATCTTGCATAAAAATTTGGCACGCGAAACTGTCTGTGAATCTAAACTGTTCTATTATTGATATAATTATATTTGGACTATATAGAAATACATTCCCTGAATTTTCCGATAGCAATAACACTTTTCACGTCAAGCACACGTACTTACTTGGGTGAAGATTAAAATACCAAATCTGTTGTGATACTGATACGTTCTTAAAAATAAAACTGGGTGCCAGAATTTGGCGTCATTGCCGCGTAGACCCAGGCATCATGTCATGATTTTAAGATTTTCTGATTCTTTTTCTAAACATTGAGATCAAATTCGATTTGAATATATTTAAAAAGATGTTCGGTATGTATCATTAATGCAATAAGTATATCTAATTCGGCAGATTGTGAGACGGCTGTTGTGTGGCGAACGTTTGCAAAAACTCGGCTCTAATGGTTAATCAAAGAGACTGCAGCAAGCAAAGATTTGTGGTTGATCACAAAAGGTAGTCCCAGGTTTGATCACAAGCCTCCCAGATTGGTCTTCGTATTTGAATTTTATTTCTTTTTCAGCATATTTTTATTATTCAATAAATTTTAGTGGGTAGTTACTTTGATAGTAGTAGCATAAATGCCAAAATGTTTAAGAACGAAAGCCCCATCGACTAGGTAATTATAAAGTTTCTTGTTTTTTTTTTCACAAAACTTTTTTTTGTGTTATTCCTAGAC